CGCGCCCTGGGCCAAAGGCAGGCTCCAAACCGATGCGCCACCCAGGGATCCCTCAAGATACGTTTTCATGAATGCTGCAGTAGGGACTAATTAGGAGGGAAGGAAAAAAAAAAAAAAAACCCACACACACAACCCAGCCACGGAGTGAAGAAACGCTGTCTGGCTCAGCCCTGGCTCTGCCACCGGCTAAGGAGCGCTGGACAAGCTGCTGTCCTGACGCTACGCCAGGGGCTTCCTCATCCTGGTTACAGAGCAGGCCCTCGAGAAAGACCTGCTGCTACGTGAATATGTGAACGGGAGGGTGACTGACGACCTCATGGGACCACTGGGAAAGGTGTGGAGGAGGAGGGCCGGTGTGAGAGCCTGTACACACGTAACACGTTGGTCCTTTCCCCCTTCTCGATTTCTCACGGGGCTCATGATCCCTGCTGGTTACAAGGCTAGAGACAAACAGATGGCTAATTTAAAAAGAAATACTCATGGGTACAAGGAGGTAAAAATAGCTCTTGAGAAAAAAACCTGGGTGCTCATTTGTCTTGCTATTACATGTCAGGACTTTTGCTTTTCGTTTTTACTTATTCGGGATGCTGACTACTCAAACTATCAATTAAATGATATAAGTGCAAAAGCGCAGAGTAATTTTCAAAGCGACCTAAGAAGAACCCTCCAGGCCACAGGCAGCCTCGTGTCTGGGCAGCCGGCAAGGGAGAAGCCCTCGAGTCAGCGGACCCAGTGAGGCACACTGGAACTTGAGCTGATTTGGGTTGGACAAGACAAGGGTTATCTGGAAATACCTCTCACCTTCATTCCTTTTTTGGGCAGGTTCAATTTGAAGCCTAACCTACCACGAAGATTAAAAGAGGTAGCAGTGCAGTCAATTTTACACTTTAGAAGAATTTGACGTAAAGTCTTTTCTGTTAAAAATCATTTTAAAAACCTAGCATACTCTCCTGGTTTACTGCATCTGCTAGCACAGAAAAAAAAAATCTTTCAGTTTAAGGGGCTCCGTGACCACTTGGAATCTGAATATGGAACATGTAAGTATAAGGAGCTCATGGCAGGTCTTGGGATTCTGCTTAAGGTGAAATCATACCTAATATTCAATCACCAATTGTCTATTCTTTCTGAAAATTCAACTGTAGACCAAAGTTTCATTACTCCAGTAAACAGCACAGGGTATTTACGTTAAAGTCAATCCCCATTTTCTTTTTTTTTTTTTTTAAAGAACACTCCAAATGGGGAAAATATGAATTCTTCTTTTTGATTTAGGTTTTTGAAACAAACACAAAGAGATAAAATTAAACATTCAGCAATCCTCAAGCACTAAACTTCCAACTGTATAGGCATCCTTAATTTAGGATACTTTCAGAGTAATGAGGGGAAAGAAAATAAACCTCACTTGCATTCAGACTGATTTCTTCAAGAGCCGAGGGCATCACCTTTGTTGCACATGAGTATGCAGAGACAAAACCGATGATGAGTATCTGCTATGACCTCTCTTCCTCTCGCTGCTAACAAACCCCGACTTAACCTGACCTGTCACAATCTATAAAATGCTGGCGTGTATGTATTTCACAACAGCTATTGTTCAACTTTCAGGAAACCTGTAACTTCAGTTACGAAGTAAGCGCCAAGACAGTTTGCAAACAGGAACAGTATAGGAACTTAGACACCGCACTCCGGAAAATTAGGATTCAGCCATGAATGAGGTGCACAGCCACTAGCTCTAAATTCTAATACTCCATATATTTGGAAGGAAGAGAGAAGTCAAGGTATCTAGCGTGATTTGCCATGTTAGGGTTATTCTCTTGGCTAGAGGCATGGTGGGGGGTGTAGTAATTAGAGGGCTGGTGATTAGAGGCATGCCAGCCACATTCCTCTGCAGCAGCAGAACTGTAAAACCAGTCACAAACACTCAGGCACCAGGGGCCTAGAGGCACCAGAGGCTTGTCAATGGACACCAGGCCCCATAGTTTTTGTTGAACGTATGCAAGAGATTAAGCAGGACTTGCAAGACATTCGAACTGAAATACAATCATCTATAAATGGGTTTTCTTTAGTACCAATCTAAAGAGGCTGTGACCTAAGCCCCCTGTTCAGTAAAACTGTGGGATGAAGAGAGATGGCAAATACCTATGGATATTATAAAATGTGAAAGGAAACACTGAAAATGTTCATATCTCGGTGCCTATGACATGACATTTATACAAAATGGGGCACTGCGCTGAAAACGTGAAGCAAAGCGAGGTTCCTACCGCCATTAGAAAAAAAGATGCAGTTCACGACAAGATGTTAAGGGTCAGTCCAGTAAGTCTTTATGTCATACTGGCATTAATTCAACAGGGCAGTAAACTTTTCCAGTGCAGAAGGGCTCCCACGGTATGTTGGGAGCTTTCTTTGGGAAGTAAAGCTCATCAACACAAAGGGAAAACTACCTTTCATGTAAGAGCTGCTGATCTATTCTTCTGTGGAATTTAGACAACATACTGAGAATAACTAACTATAGGTTTCCATCTGCATAACTGAATTTTCAACTTTTTAAATTAAGCATTTCTATTAACAGAGAAAATTCAATCCCTTGCCACCGACGAGCCAGTAAACGGAACACCTTACAGAAAGACCAGCTCCTGGAAACGCTGCTGAATAATGAAATGTGCTACTAGGCACAGAGAGACTCCCTCAGTGGTTTCAGATTCTGGCTGAAAAAGCAGCAAGTGCTTTCTAGTTGGGCACATTTCACACATCCTGGCTTCTTAACAACGAATCCATCAACTCTCTATTATCTCCTTCATTCCCAGACAAGGTAGACAATCCAGATCGGGTTCTAATCAATGAGTTTTACATTCTAAAATTGTAACCTGGATAATTTGCCACGGCATCCTACTGTTTGGTATCCAAGCTCTTTGTTCTCAACAACAAAACTTAGTACTTGTCTAGATTAAAAAACTGGATTGATTCTCTTTACACTATTACGAGTCATTTGGACTTCAGGTTGCTGGAGCTACTTTAGAATGTGAATTGTTTATTGGAGTTGAGAATTTATACTGAATTTCTGGCAGATTACACTACTTCCTCCAAATTTGATGAGAGGAGGTGAAGAAAGCTCTATTTTGACGGGAAGGCTTAGACAAAGAGTGGACTTCTGCTAAAAATACTCTCACCTTCCTTTTATGCAAAGTAGAAGAAATAAGGAGTATGTGTTTTGAACTCAAGTACTAATAGGTCTTTCATTTTTTAGCAGCTCCATAGAAGAAGTAAGTCAGTGAAGTGAAGAAGTTGTATTTGGCCCTGACCACAGTGATCACTCAACACATTTCTTACTTAACGGTGCTTAAACTAAGACTGCACCTCTTATCAGATGTCACCATTCATTTTGGTGAAGATATCCCCGCTCACTGTTTTAGAGCATATAATGTCTTGGCACAGAGCAAAGTTTCTCCACCTTGGCACTACTGACAACTGGGGCCTGCTAATCCTTTGCTGTGAGGCCTGTCCCGTGCACCACAGGATGTTCAGTGGCATCCCTGGCCTCTATTCACTAGATCCCAGTGGCACCCTTCTTCTCAGTTGTGACAATCCCACAGGTCTCCAGATGTTTCCAAATGTCCCCTAGGAAGCCAAATCAGCCCCACGCTGAGAGGGCTTGATGAAGAGTATAAACTAGCCAAATAGGGACTCAAGATGGAAACTTAAACTTTCTTATTCTTTTTAATGACATTTCAGTAGCTGCATATCACATGTTCTCTGTCAAGGGACCAAACAATTTGTTTTCCTGTGAATAGCAACAACAAAAATCCCAATTTCAGATTTAGGTAGAACTTGTTTTAACTTCAGCAATTTGATAAGCTTTTAATCTTTTAGTTTAAAACGTTTAAATGTGAGATTTTGACTTTTAACTTTATAACTAGTTACTGGAAATGAATCTTCATATCTATACTGAAGGCCAAACCTTTTTTCACCTGAGGAAAGTCATTTATGCTAATTTCAAAAGATCTACTCCCTGCAATCTCAGATTTGCTCTTGGAGAGGAGAGGGGGGAAGAGAGGATTCCTGGTGCCAAGCACCTGCTTTCAAGCTCAGAGCTCTCTGCCACAACGTCAAGTATCTGCTAGTTAAGACACTGGCTGCTTCTTAGAGCGGATCCTTCTCTGATATAATTGGCTTTCTTCTTTATTCAAAAGATCCACCAGAATTTTAGAAACAGCTGCTTTTGCACATTAACTAGTAAGTTTTGTCTTGGGATAGTTTGTTGTTTAAAAAAATGGATTATTTATTATTTCAGAGACTGGCCTGAAACAGAAACATACCTATTTCATCTGATCAAATTTCTCCAAAGGATGTGGGTCCCTAAATCCACAAATAGTCAGAAACTCTCTATATATACATGTAGCTACAGATGCACTTATAAATTATAGAAAATGGATGCTGACTTTGCCAACGTCCTACTCTTTGGCCTTGCAAATGCCACTCTGATGTGCGGCCTTATAGGGAATGAGAATTTGGAGACAGAGATTAATCATTTAACTTCCCGTCTTGCTTTTTAAATGCTTCCCAGGAGAATGAGAGCCAAATTATCAGGTTTATTCCTCCAATTTCTATGGGGAAAATGGTTGGTCCTCCTGTTAGCTGTTGCGGTTAAGTCTACTTTGGTTTAAAGATAGATGTTAACATTTTTTATTTGTTTAATGTCTTTTCAATTCTTGAATAGTCACGGTTCATTTATCATACTCTAATTTAGACACAAGAAAGCCAGCTAAAGGCAGGTGTGTAAAACTGCCTCTCTGAGCTTAGGTTAATCTTATGCACTTATAAAAGAAAAATGCATATGCACACACAGACACACCACAGTCTTTTCAGCAAGAGCACAAATGAAAATGCGTGCTACATCTCATGCATTGCTGTCTTCCAGGCACAAGGAATCAAAGCAACTAGATCCCTGAGAAGAGCAACCCCTACAGGTTACTAACAGCTTATCGCATACAAAGAGAACAGATACCTACCATCAAAACTGCCTTGCTCAGAAGCAAGGTGCAATAGCTGATTGTACGTTTCAACTGAAGGCTGATAAACAAAGACTCCAGAATTGAAGCAGTCAGGCCACCCTGGGTCTGGTGCCGCCGACAATTCTTCTCTCTCGAAAAGATCATCAATATTTGCTAGGACCTAATTCAAAGGGGGGAGGGGTGGGAGGGAAAGCATTACAGGAATGTTCTGCCCCATAAATATAAGTTCTCCCTACATTATCCAACACAAAAGATGCAATCTGCTGCTTTTCTTAACCATTCAAGTGACAGCTGTTAGGTAGCCTGGGTTTACTCTCCTTCATCACCTGATACTTTTAATGACTGGTTTTATCTGAACTTCACTGTCAAGCCTTGAGAGCATTCCTCAAATGCCTAACTGGTCTCAGTTACTATATACATCCTGTCAGTCATCAAAGCCACACTCACCAGAGTATCTGCATCCATGAACACACATTTTGAATACTGCGTAAGTGACCAGCAATGCAGTTTAGTCAACGTGACGCCCAACTCAGGCCTCTTCATTAAGGTTAGATGAGCAGAATCGCCACTGTCCAAGACGTCTACTGTGATGACTTCATCAAAGACTGTCTCTAAAACTTTTCTGACAAAATAAAAACCAGAAAACAGCACTTAGTATCTTTTCAGATAAGTAACAACTAACCCATCTAATGTAAAACTGAACTATTAGCCTATCCATCAATTACTAAAGCAATCTGTTATTTCGATATAGCACAATCTCTTAAATAGGTGGTCTTAATTTACTTCAGGCCAAACTGTAGTAATTTGCATGTGCAGCTAACTTCACTAAAATAATAAAAATTGCTCTGGTGAAGATGAAGTACTTGTCTTAAACATTATTATAAAAAAAAACATTATTATAGCAAAAGGTTCCTAATTCTTATTGGATCACTGAATACCAGGCAAATTATAGAAACTGCCTGTCGAGATGGGACTCCCATTTGGAAAGAGCACATCTTTACAACAGCCTACGTATTTAACAGTGAAATCTCATTAGAACGGATTCTTGCGGGCCACTGCAGATTTTTACAAATGATGCTTAAGTGCATATCATACCTGCAATGAAGCCTAAAACTAGCCATTTTCACTAAAGCAGTTGACAGAGAACACTGCGTCCCAAAAGGAGTTAAAGGACTCAGTTATTTGGGTGCCAATTTTTAAAACAGAATATAACCAACACTTACATTACAGTATGCTTAGCACTTTGACATAATGAGGGACTCACTTTGGTTTGTGAGGTACAACACTTTTCTGGGCCCCAAATTAACTCAAGATTTATTTTAGGAAGCAATCTTGAGGTGGGTTAAGTGGGGGAAGACTTAGGTAAAACAGTAAGTTCAGCACAGGGGAACAGAAATGATTAACAGGTCATCGTTGAAAGTTATAACAGTTTGAGACATGTAGGACAAAACTCGTAATGTACTGTCTCCAAGCTGTGGAAAAATATGTTCCAATTCACGCAGTAAACTTGATATTTTTGAAAATAAATGGTCAGCGGTGCCATTTACCACAGTAAAGGGGGATCTAAGACTTACATCTGTCTTCTTACACGCGTCCTCACTAAAGAGACTACAAATTAGGATGTACACATTAGGAAGCATTAGCATTTTCCCAAATTGCCCTTTAGAAATAAGGTTATCAGTGTGTGAAAAACATCTATCTCTCATTATATAAAGCAACCTTTTCAGAGGTCCTTGGCATGTGGTATATTTCTTGTCAAAAGTCACAAAAAGGGCATTTTCAATTTCTAAAAGGCCTAGGAAAACAAAAATAGACACCATACAGAGCTGCTAGTGTGCCCACATATTTTGTAAGTATTAGGATCTAGGTAGTTCAGTCCAATACTTCAAAGTTTCATACCAACAAATCAAAGTGAACTAACCCAATCAACAAGCAGTTTGTGTCCTCCAATCCCCACCCCTGGGGTGCTCTCCTAGCACAATCCCTAGTTCAGAAAGCCCTGGCAAACATTCTAGTCTATTAAATGATACACAAACATCTTTGGGTTACAAATGCCTATGGACACTGGAGAAAACTGCCTTTTTTTTTTTTTTTTTTTCCAGTCACCTGAGCTTTCCCTGGGTGAAAACAGGAAACAAAGCAGCCCCTGTGGCATTCTGGGAAAGGAATGCAAGTGAAGTGTGACCACCTAAAAGGAATGCCTGGACTAAAACATTCACTCGGGTCATCCTAGAGGACTTGCTTACAGAAGAGTCCTTCTCCCACTGGAACCAGTAAGAGCATGGGTCAGAACAGCAGCTCCCAGGAAGGAGCTCAGCAATTCTGATCTTTCTCCACCTAGTGTTCAACCCCTGGAAAGGGTATGTCCTCAGTGCCCAGGGATGCCAGAAATGGGAGGCGGAGGGCAGAGTCGCACCCACAGACCAGCAGGGAGATCCTCACCTCATGGAGTCTGAGACCTGCGGGGTGGCAAGCACGGCCAGCTTCCTGGTGGTCCTGTGCTGTTTCAGAGACGAGCCCAGGACCAAGGCTCCTTTGGCGTAGGCATCGTTTGTGGTCAGTGTCACAAAGGCCTGATCTTAATACAAAGACAAAGAGAAAAACCACACTGATTATAATATCCTACCTGGGAAAAACTACCCCAGGACCCTTTGCAACCACTAATCTGGCAAAATCAGCCTCTCTGAGATCAACTTGCTCTGTTAATTAAGGAGCAGCCTCTTTGGAAGTTGGGGGGGAAGAACCAAAGTGCCCACTTTAAAAATGATTCACGACCATTCTTTAGCAGAAACATCCTTGGCAATCTCCAACAGGCTGATTAAGCTATAAAAATTAAATCCAATTTAGAGCCCAAACACGCAAAATTCTCAGACTAAATAGTAGCTTAACACCAGAAGGTGAACCTTGGGCAATTAACAGGTGGTAATGAAGAAATCAAGAGGTCCATTTTCTGTTTCCTACAAGTATTTTCAGCCAAGCACAAATCTCACTAATGACCTCAAATGAGAGCATCTGAAAGCAGAGGCCACAGTCTTCATTCTGATGCTTAAGCTTCTGCCAAGCCTCAGGCTTTATATAGTGTTTCCTCAACCTGGAGTAAAGCCCCCCGCCCCCCAACCGCCGCCGCCGCACCAACAGTCACTGCTCAAACATCACCTCGACAGAGGCCTTCCCTCCTTAGTGCTTTTATCTAAACAGCAGCTAGTGTTAACTGCATTTAGGGACCACCTCAAAAGCACTAACGAATCTGCCTTTTTCTTGGAGAGGCACGCAGCACGCCCTACCCTGTACCATGGGATCCCCCAACACATACACACACACAAAACCACTCAGTTGCCAGAAGGGAAGGCAAACACATGAATCATTCTTCCTACTGAACAAGCCTCACCCTCCCAAGACCACCAACCCGGCCTTTGGGATTTCTCCAGGTCTTCCCTGGAAGGAGTGTGAGGTACGCTCTATCTCTGGGGGGATTTTAACAAGTTAGTGGGCATCCAAATGTACAGGATACTTAGGATCAAACACTGGCAGGGGTCACTTGGGGGCACTGTTGCCCAACCAAGGAGTTGGGACATTTTGTCATGAAGTAACGCTCTTCATTATTTTCCAGCTGTGAAGGCTGGAGACAGGATAAATTCCTCTGATAAGCCAGAGAAAGTTGCAGGCTGTCAAGGGGGCTAACATGGGGCCCAGTCTCAGACCAGAGGGCATCTTCACCACCCCCCCCCAGCCCCGGACTCTCTTCCTGTAAAGGCTCGCTATTGAGCGTTGAAAGAGGGCTGTTCCCCACTCCTCAAGGGCCACTGGCTTCCCAGCTAGTCACATTGTAGGGTAGCTCAGAACAGTGACATCTGTCACTTGACATGCCCATCAACGTCTGCCTTGACTTGTTCCTTCAACCCACCATGAGAAGATGGCAACATTTCAGCCAGTCTGCCCCAGGAGCCTTCAATCTGGGGGGATAACATGCCTAATGTGTCACTTGACCAACAGTGGTCCAGATTCCAGGGGAACCTGGAGAGGAGTTGAACAAGGGATTTAAATAGGACTCGGTGATTTCAGGGAGCAAGGATGGGGATGCTGTGCACGGCGAGGCAGGGCGCAGGCTTAGGGCCACAGGCTGCAAGCCCCGGCGCACGTCACCAGCCAGGGAAAGACCCGCGGCCGCTGGCAAAGGGAACCGCGCCGGCCCCGCAGTGTCTGGTCGCGCTCTTAGCCCCACCACAGCGGAAGGACCGGCCCGGGGCGCGGCTGCAGCGCCCCCGGCAACAAGTGAGCGGGCGCGCGCCCACCGCGGGGGCCGCTCCGGGGCGCTCGCCGGGCTCCAGCTGGCCGCGGCCCCGCCCCAGGGCCTAAAAATAGGCTCCGCGCGGCCGCCAGCGAGCGCCCCGGCGGGCGGCACCGGGGCCGGGCCTGCGTCCCTCCAGGTGCCCCCGCGCCGCGCTCCAGGGCCCGGCGCCCCCCGGGAACCGGCTCCCGCACCCCCCGCCCGCGCGCCCTCCAGGTGCTCCGGCCCCCAGGGCCTGCCCCCCCAGGTGCCCCGCGCCGCGCTCCAGGGCCGGGCCGGGCCCCCGGAACCGCTCCCCGCACCCCCCCGCCCGCGCGCCCCTCCAGGTGTCCCCGCCCCCCAGGTGCCCCCGCCCGCGCGCCCCTCCAGGTGCCCCGCGCCCCCCCCCAGGTGCCCGCGCCCCTCCAGGTGCCCCGGCCTGCGCCCCTCCAGGTGCCCCCGCGCCGCGCTCCAGGGCCCGGGCCCGGCGCCCCCGGGAACTGGCTCCCCGCACCCACCCCGCCCGCGCGCCCCTCCAGGTGTCCCCGCGCCCCCCAGGTGCCCTTGCCCCCCCCAGGTGCCCCCGCGCCGCGCTCCAGGGCCCGGGCCGGGCGCCCCCGGGAACCGGCTCCCCGCACCCCCCCCGCCCGCGCGCCCCTCCAGGTGTCCCCGCGCCCCCCAGGTGCCCCCGCCCGCGCGCCCCTCCAGGTGCCTCCGCGCCGCGCTCCAGGGCCCGGGCCCGGCGCCCCCGGGAACCGGCTCCCCGCACCCACCCCGCCCGCGCGCCCCTCCAGGTGTCCCCGCGCCCCCCAGGTGCCCTTGCCCCCCCCCAGGTGCCCCCGCGCCGCGCTCCAGGGCCCGGGCCGGGCGCCCCCGGGAACCGGCTCCCCGCACCCCGCCCCCCAGGTCCCCCGCCCGCGCGCCCCTCCAGGTGTCCCCGCGCCCCCCAGGTGCCCCCGCCCGCGCGCCCCTCCAGGTGCCCCCGCGCCGCGCTCCAGGGCCCGGGCCCGGCGCCCCCGGGAACCGGCTCCCCGCCGCTCCCCCCCGCCGCCCGGCCGCGCCGCCGCTGCTCCGCCCGCCCCCCCGCCCCTCCCGGCGGCGGCAGGAGGAAGGGCGCGGAGACGGAAGCGGGCGCGGGGGCCCCGGCAGGCGGCCCAGGCCCCGCCAGCTGCCCGCCCGGCCCCGGCTGTCGCAGGGCGCCCACGCCCGACCGCAGCGAGCCTGCAACTTCGCGGCGGTCCCCGGCCGGCCGGGAACTCCCGGGGGTGCGGGGCGGGCGGGGCGGGGGCCCGGGGCGAGGTCCCGGGGGCCGCGGGGCGGGGTCCCCGGGGAGGGTCCCGGCGCGTACCTGTCATGGTGCCGCCGGGGCCGCCGCAGCCGCAGTCGGGGGCCGGGAGGAGCGCGGCGGGGGCAGCGCGGCGGGAGGAGCGCGGCGGGAGCCCAGGCCGGCCCCGAGCGCTCTTATAGCGGCCGTCACGTGGCCGCGCACGCTCCCGGCGCCCGCCCGCATCCTCCCCGCCCCCCAGCCCGCGCCCGGCTCGCGGCCCGCCCCCGGGGGCACCTGCCGGGACCTCGCGCCTCCGCATCCTCCCTCACCCGGGGGGGGGGGGGGCGGGGGCGGGGGGGGCTCGGGGCGGACCGCGGCAGCAGCCGGACAAACTCCCGAAGAGGCCGCGGGGTCGAGGAGCCGAGAAACAAAACCCACCAGACCACTCCGCGGAGCAGAGCATTCGCTTGAACTGTTTGGAGCCAAGTGCACGTTTCACTCGCTTCGCATCAGCCTCTGGAAACCTCTTATTTATTATTGTAATTTATGTCCACAGTGGTCTCGTGGCTTACCAAAAAAATGCAATGAGTCTTCACTATGTAATTTCGATGCTTGGAGCCCTCTGCATCCATTAGATAGTGTTCCATGGCTCCTTCCGCCAACTCCAACTCCGTGAAGCAGGTGTTACATCCTCTTCCTTTTACAGATAAACGGAATTACCGAAGGGTTGAATGACTTGCCTAGGGTCCTGTCATGAAGTGGAGAAGGGAGGCACTTTGGTTTACGGAACTGATCTTCCTACCAGGAAGGCCATGACATCTCTGGTACCTCGGTGCCCTATTACGGTTAGCGAGTTATGGTAACTGTGGTTGGGTAATATAGCTGTTTAGGTTAATCTGTTTCACAAATCATGAAAAGGTGAATTTGTCGTTTTGCTAGGAAGTTGAGAAATAGCTCTTTATTGTGCTCACAGCCTCCTCCTCTCCCCATCCCCTCCACCCAGCCCAAACATACCAGGAAAGGAGCAGGTAATACGATTCTCTGCCAACAACAGCTGCTCAGGAAATGCTGAATGGAAGCCAAATAGGAAATTGACAACATCAGCTCAAAAAGTGGAATAGATGCCTAAGAATAGGTGTTTTATTGCAAAGGCCTATTGCTTTATTCTTAAACCAATTATCTCAGTTTCCTCAAGTGTAGGCCTGAACTTCCTACATTATAATCGCTGAGGGCACTTATTACAATGTTAACTTTTGGTCCTAAGTCCAGACCTCCTGCACCAAAATCTTAAGGGTCCAACCCAAGAATCAGCATCCTTAATTATCATCCTCCAGGAAACTCTCTTCATTCCTTCCCTTTCTCCCTACCCCACCATGGCTTGGTGACCACTGATTCACTTGGAAAGACCTCCTGGTTACTTGGCTTTAAAAACACTTCCTTTGTAGCAGGTGGAAATGTGGTGGCAAGTGTACAGTGGAGGAGTTTTCACATATTTGAACCCTGCGGGTTTAGAAAAGTTGACTTCTTTTTTTTTTTTTTTTTTTTAGATTTTATTTATTTATTCATGAGAGACACAGAGACATATGCAGAGGGACAAGCAGGTTCCCCCCAGGGAGCTTGATGTGGGGCTTGACCCCAGGACCCCGAGATCATGCTCTGAGCCAAAGGCAGATGCTCAACCACTGAGCCACCCAGGCGCCCCAAAGGTTGACACTCTTTAAGAAATATGTAGGCTGGGCAGCCCTGGTGGCCCAGCAGTTTAGCACCGCCTTCGGCCCGGGGTGTGATCCTGGAGACCCAGGATCGAGTCCCACGTCAGGCTCTCTGCCTGGAGCCTGCTTCTCTCTCTGCCTGTGTCTCTGCCTCTCTCTCTCTCTCTCTCTCTCTCTCTCTGTCATGAATAAATAAATAAATACATAAATATTTTAAAAAAAGGAAATATGTAGGCTGTGCTTGATTTGTACCTACCTGAAAAAAGGAAAACAGTGGTGCTCCAGGTCTAAATGGCTTCTTTCCGTACTGGTAAGTGGACCTGAAAGTGGACCTGATAGAGTCAAGTATCCATCTTTCACTCAGAAACCCTCCTGCCTTTGGTGATCCTTTACCACCTGCTGCTTGACGGCAAAGTTCCCGGGGTTGGGCTTTCACAAAAGGGCAAATCCAGGAGGAAGATCTGGGGACAACTAGAACAGTAGGGAAAATTTCCTTAGGTTCGAGTGCCTCTCTGCTCCATCCTCCGAGATGTCTAAGTAAGAGAGGTCACCACAGCCTTCTTTCCTGTGTTTTGTGCACATTTACAGTAAGAGAACGTTTATAGCTTTCACCGCCTTAAATCAAAGAGGGACATTTTGAGGTTGCGATAATGTCTCAATCGAGATTACTAAGAGTGAACCACTGCCCAGTTTTCCCGGAACTGTTTTACACTGAGTTTCGGTTAGGTATGAGAGCAAGTCCTCTCAAACTTTAATGGGCACACAAATTGTCTGGAGATCTTGTTAAAATGCAGGTTCTGACTCAGTGGTTTGGAGTGCATCACCCTGGTGATGTCTGGGTTGTGGACCAATTTTGCATAGCAAGGTGTTTGAACATTCTGGATCGTAAGGATTTAGAGGCAGTGGGTAAACTTACAATGTTGTGGGACAGACGTTTGAGAATTTAATTTGTTAACTTTTTTCCCACTGAAATTTCTGTAGCTGAATATCTGACTCCTAAAAGAAAGATTTAAATAAGTCTAAAATGAAAAGCTACATGGGTACTACTAACTATTAGCATGACTATTAGCCATTCAAACCTATGCTAAATGTGTATATTTAGCATGGTTGGTCCAAAATTCATTTTTAGTTGGCTTTGGAATGCATTATGTAATTTTGTTGGCAGGATACTTACTTTCTTAATTATGTTTTGTTTAAGATAATGCTGAAATCAGTTTGCATTCCCTTGAGCACACACACTAATTGATGGTGAGAGCAACTGACCTAGAAATATATTCCAGAGCAGAGGGCAACCTGCTGACCTAAGATACAAACGGTTCCCACGGACAGTCCATGAAATAGATATACCACATCTGGCCAGACACAGAAACTAACTAGTTAACTACTTAGTGTTTTGCCCTTAATTGGTAACACACAAAGTCTGTACCTGGAATTGCTGCCAGTGATCACATCCCTGTCCAATTCCAAACGAAAGCTTATTCAGGAAATATTATCCTAGGAGGCCCCAAGTTGTTCATTCTTCACTTGAAAGCTGGAGTCTCAAACGCCACAGGTTGCAAGGGCCTGTTGACTGGTTACAATGCCTTTAAAAAACAACAACAACAACAACAATTTTTTATTAAGATATAATTCACATGCCATAAAACTCAGCCATTTAAAGCATATAATTAGATTATTTTTAGTATATTCACAGAATTGTGCAAAGATCGTCACAATTTAACTTTAGAACATTTTCATCGCTCAAAAAGAAAACCATACCCATAAGTGGTCACTCCTCATTCTCTCTTTCCCTCAGCCCTCAGCAACTACTAATCTTTCTGTCTCTATAGCTTTGTTTAGAAAGATTTGCCTGTACGTGGTCTTTCATAACTGGCTTCTTTCACTTACTACCATAATATTTTCATGGTTCTTCCATGTTGGGGCATGTGTCGGTGTTTTGCTCCCTTTTATTGCCAAATTATATTTTACTATATGGATATATGACATTTTAATTATCCATTTCATGAATAAACATGTTGATGAACATTTGGGTAGTTTCCACTTTTTAGCTATTGTGGGTAATGCTGCTAAGAATATTTGTGTCCAAGTTTTTGCTTTGCTTGACACACATATATATGTTTTAAAACATATTTTATATAATCTCCTCCTGGATACATACCAACTGTAGGATTGCTGGATCATATGGCAACACTATGTTTAACACTTTAAGACGGCCAGACTGTTTTCCAAAGTGTCTGCATCATTTTGCATTCCCACTAGTATGAGAATTTCTTAGCCAATATTGTCTTTTATTATAGCCATCCTAATGGGCTTAGTGTAGCATCTCATTGTGGATTTGATTTGCATTTCCCTAATGACTTGTAATGTTGAGCATTTTTTCATGTGCTTATTGTCCATTTGCATATCTTCTTTGGATAAATGTCTATTAAAATACTTTACCCATTTTTAAATTGAGTTGATTTTTTGTTATTGAGTTATAAGTTCTTTATATATTCTGGATACAAGCCCTTATTAGATTTATATTGTATGGTTTCTGATTTTTATTTTTTTATTAAAAAAATTATTTATTTATTTGACAGAGAAAGCACAAGTAGATGGGGCGGCAGGCAGAGAAAGTGGGAGAAGCAGATTTCCCTCTGAGCTGGGAGCCCACCTTGGGGTTGGATCCCAGGACCCTGAGATCATGGTCTGAGCTGAAGGCAGACACTTAACTGATTGAGCCATGCAGGTATCCCTGATTTTGGCTTTTTACTTTCTTGATAGTATTTTTTGTAGCATAAAAGTTTAAAATTCCTACATAGTCCAGTTTATTTATTTTTCTTTTTTGCTTGTGCTTTTGGTATCATGTCTAGGAAACCCGCCCGATGAGGGACTCGATCCCAGAACTCCAAGATCACGCCTGGAGTTGAAGGCAGAAGCTCAACCACTGAGCCACCCAGGCGTCCCCCAGCACCATTTATTGAAAAGACTATTGTTTCTCCATTGAAATGTCTTGGATACTTAGCTTTTTCTTTATCTTGTAGGCGTTTTGAATCTTTTATCAGTACATGCTTCCCCCTTTTTTGGTACACTTAGAAACTTATGGCAAAATTTGTAGCTGCTTCTGGTCATTATTTAGGCTATCCATCTTGCATTTACTTGTGCTTTAATTTTTTTCTTCACTATTACACTTGCTTTATTTATGAAGTTGCATGAGATCCTTTGGAAGTGGGGGAGGCATGTGGAATTAATTAGTAAATAATTAAATGATCAGAGGTTTCTAGAGGGAGTAGAGCACAGAAAAGGAAATTTCAGCCCAATTTGGGTGACTCTGGAGGTTTTTGTAGTGGTTTGTCAGTAAAATGAAGATCCCATAAATTAGAGAGTCAGGGTTATGGATTCAGACATGGGAATAACCTTCTGTAATTAGTTTAAGGTTAGTTAAAAAGACAAGTAATTGCTTTATCTTTCAATCTTACTTTTATTATTTATTCTACCAGTAACACGGTAACAACATGATAGTGGTCAAAAACCAGAAATAAGGTTGTCTAGGATCTCTAACCCTGAACATTTCGAACATGTATTACCTTTCAAACTTTAGTTATTATATTTGTTATCTTTTAGTTTGTGGGTTAAGTCATTTAAATTAGTGAGTTATAAGACTAAAAATTAAGAGAACCTCTTTGGCAATTATCTTTTCTTTAATCTCAGACAATATAGTAAAGTTTATATACGATGAAATTTACCTTTAAAAGCAAAGAATTCAATGAACTTTGACATAATATATACTATCATATAACCATCAACACAATTACCTCCTTCAAATTTCTCTCAAGTGCCTTTGCAGTTAATCCCATCCCCCTACCCTGGTCCCTGGCAAACACAGCTCTGATTTCTATCTATATAGATTTGCTTTTTGCAGAATTTCATACGAGTGCAATCATATAGTATGCAGTCTTTTGTATCTGGCTTCTTTTAGCATAAGGCTTTTGAGGTTTATTCACATCGTTGAGTATCAGTGGTTTATTCCTTTTTATTACTGAGTAGAATTTTTTTGCATGCATATACTAACATGTATATATCCATTCACCAGCAGATGGACATTTGAGTTGCTTCTACTTTGGGTTTTATGAATAAAGCTTCCATGAATATGCAAGCGCTAGGAGCAGCATTACTGGATCGTGTAGTATGCTATGTTTACGTTTATTAGAGTGGCAGTTGACTTTCAAAGTTCATTGCGAAAACTGGATGAGATCACTAAGAATGGAAGTTATTCTTTTTATTTAAAATTGATTACGTCCTAAGACGATCCGATGTCCATTCATAGTATGTTGAGAGAGAAGGGGACATAAGTCCCCACATATTACTGGAGATTGACTTTCCTTTAGCATGCCAATGCCATCTGCTTCTAACCATCCAGCATGTGTACACTCAGGGTCTCATTTGAGAAAGTTTAGAAAAGATCCCAAGATTCATTACAATTCAGAGTCTTAGTGACCTGTGGATTGCAGGCTTTTGCTTGAAGAGAGAACATCACTCTCATGAAACCTCTGGTCACAATATGTATTATAGAAAGTTCTCTCTCTCACTCTCTCTCTCTTTTTTAGAGATTTCATTTATTTACTCATGAGAGACACACAGAAAGAGGCAGAGACATAGGCAGAAGGAGAAGCAGGCTCCCTCTGGGGAGCTGAGCCAAAGGCAGACGCTCAACCACTGAGCCACCCAGGCATCTCAGTACTCTCTTGTGGATTGTATCATTTGGTCCTCAAGACAGCCTATCAGGTCATCTAGCTGGATACATGATATTTTCACAAAGCCTCTGGGACTCTAGCAATAATTTTATTTTATTTTATTTTTTTAACATTCAACTTCCAGCTTAAACAGCAACAAAACTAAAGGCTGTCACAGATGTCCCTGCATAGCCCTGAGCCCTCTTACATTACCAAACTATCCCCACTCCCTCAGGATCACCATATTTTTTAGCTCAATCCCAGCCCTGAACCTCCAAAGTGAGTGTGAGGTTGAGGGATGTCTGTTGAACACAATGCTTGGAAACAAAAGTGTTTTTCTTTTTGTTTTTTTTTTTTTTAAGCTTTTATTTATTCACGAGAGACATGGAGAGGTAGAGACACAGGCAGAGGGAGAAGCAGACTCCATGAGGGGAGCCTGATGTGGGACTTGATCCCGTACCCTGGGATCATGCCCTGAGAGGAAGGCAGATGCTCAACTGCTGAGCCACCCAGGTGACCCTTATTTTTCTTTTCCACCAGGTGCAAACGGCTTTCTTTGGTTCATGCAAAATCACTATCCCTGTATTAGAGATGATATAACCAAAACTCAGAGAAGTTAGAAAATTGCTTGAGGCCATTTGACTAGAGAGTGGCACGTCTGGGTCTTCTCCTCCTCCTCCTTCTTCTTCTGAATTAATTTATTTGACAGAGAGAGCACAAACATGGGGAGCAGGAGAGGGAGAAGCAGGCTGTCTGCTGAGCAGGGAGCCTGATGCGGGGCTCCATCCCAGGACCCTGGGATCATGATCTGAGCCAAAGGCAGACACTAAACAACTGAGCCACCCAGGTGCCCCATGTCAGGGTCTTCTTAAACTGCACTGCCTCCCTGGAATTTGAGTGGGAATCAGAGCATTCCTCAGAATTTAGGACCTTTGAGACACTCACTGCCAATTCAGATAGTCAGTGTGTCAATAATTCCTCCCTATCTGCTTCTCCTTTTGATACAGAGAAGATGGAGGAATAAATGAGGCATTGGAATTTAAGAATCCCTAAGAAGAGAAAAAGGGGCAGAAGGTAGGAGATAGATGAACGTTGGAAGCAGCCTGAGAGAGGTTCCAGCCCACAAGCACAGAGAGGAATAAGAGCTCAAGTGAAGAAGAGCCAAGAAGGTTCCAAAGTCCTAAAGAAGCTGGTGTCAAAGGACATACAGCCCTTTACCCTTAGTAATTCCTAAGCAGCTTCTAGAATAGATCCCGTCGCTTACCCTCATTCCAGGGAGGGGGTCATTGGAACAAAGGTTTAATGATTTCTTGGAAAGTCCTAAACTCCCTAAAATATCTTTACCTGTATGAAATTCCTTTTACAGAGGACAAAACATTCCACCTATAATTAGAGAAAAAATAAATTCTGGTTACAGAAGAGGTATTTATTTTAAGAGCTAATTTTATGAGGCACAGTGAGGGATAGGTACTACATATATAATCGTATTTAATCTTTTTGACAGCCCTGTGCAGGAGGTATTATTAGCTCCATTTTGCACATAAAATGATAAAACTGAGAGGTTAAGAAACTGTTCACCTTCAATATGTGAATATCTCTTTTCTGAGGCAGTAGCTTCTGTGTCCGGGGGTATTTTTGTCATACACGAATACAGTTTGTGTGTACAGCTTTGCTTGAAATGATTACTGAAGATTTTTTTTTTGATTACTGAAGATTTTTGAAAACAAACTTCTTTAAAAAAAATCCAAAATTTAGGGCAGCCCCGGTGGCGCAGCGGTTTAGGGTGCCTACAGCCCGGGGTGTGATCCTGGAGACCCAGGATCAAGTCCCACGTCGGGCTCCCTGCATGAGCCTGCTTCTCTCTCTGCCTGTGTCTCTGCCTCTCTTTCGCTCTCTCTGAATAAATAAATAAATAAATCTTTAATAAAAAAATCCAAAGTTTATTAAGATAAAGCAACATGTTTTCAGAAGATCCATTCATTGATGTATCACTATTTTGCACACAGAGCAATTACAGTAAGTTATAATTCTTAGAACCATAATACCTAGTGCTTTTGTGGTCATTTATAAATTAAAGAGGTGTTTGTGTAGAAATAGAAATTTACT